TTTTTTTTTTTTTTCTAGTATTTATTCCACATTTTTCTCTATAAACCGTTAAAAAAACGTATTAAGCCTGTAGATTGAACCAGTTAGCAAATCTTCCGATTCTCTGCTTCAATAGCCTTTATCGAGAACCATAAAAAATATTGCAGTTCTCAAATTAGATGCACCTTAACTCCGTGATATCGCTCTCAGTAACCTCACATCCTTTAAAGCTATGTCATTGTTCACTTGCACCTTACTCAGAATTTCCCGACAAAGACACTTTAGGCTTCTCTTCTAGCCATAGTATTCTCAAAAACCCAAATTAACTTCTGAAACTTTTCTAAGCAGCGCTATCATTAACCCATACAATAGTAGATTGTAATAAGCTTGATTATTCCGCAATTGTGACTAAGCAAAACTTTTACGCTGCCAAATCTGACGCAACCCAATGAGTTAAAGTTGGCTAACCAAGCTCGTAATAGAAAGAGAAGCTATTTAGCAGCATCTTAGAAAGTAAATGAATTAGATTAAAAAAGGAACAAAGCCAACAAATCTTCAGGCAACAAAATGCCTAAAATAACAACAAACCTTTTCCCAAATTTGTTCTGCTTCACCTTGAATCTGCGAAAACCACAGCAGAGTCTTATCCCTCGCCATGCGCCGACTTCAGTAAGTCTGAACAGCAACAGTCGAACGTATTCGCTGCGAACTAAAGATAGTACTTTTGACAAATCCTGAAATTTCTGGAATTGCAAACTTTCCAAAGAAATTACTCATCAATCGAAACACCAATAAAAGAAATGAAGCAGATTACAGCTGAAGTTGAAATTAAAAACCTTTATAGCCGAGAGCTGCAAAATATGCTCGTTGATCACCTCACTTACAGCCAGCTCATTCATTGCATCGGTGAAAAACCGACGTAACAATTTTTCCCTCTCTTCATCACTTAAATACTACGAATAAAAAGTTTCAGGAAATGCAGATGCTCTTAAGCATGACTAAATTCGCATTAAACAACAAAGTAAGGAAGACATTTTGATAAAACACGTTCAAAAACAATTGGTGGAACATTCAAGCACTGCTTTCAAAAGCTGTTAATACTGGTAATTTTTGGTTTTATTTTACAGCTTATTGGTAATTTAAAAACACTGCATAAATCAAGAAAACAAACTTCTCAAAGTAACTATGAAATATAATTATTGAAATACCTACTTTGCCAGCTTTTCTGCTGCATCTCCATAAGAACGTATAAGCTCCCTTAAAGATTTCACTGCTTCTATTCGTAACACACGATTACAGCAACGTGATCCATCACTACTCATCAATATACTGAAAGATATCCAAGAATAAATTTATCGTAGTAGACAGTATAGCAAATTAAATGAAGCACTTTCATACCCGAACGATATAATTTCGCGCTCCCGTATGGCAGAAATAACTGAACTTATACAGCTATCAAAACTTTTCGCAGAAGCAACGAAACTGTATGCTGCACTCACAATATACCATCTATATAACCATCTGTACAAAAAAGTAAAAACAAAATATGACCCAGCAGCAGCATATAGCCATATAATCTTATATAAATATCCTCCAACTGCCAGTGCTACGGCAGGGATAAATACCTTAAACAAGTGACAAGTAAAATTCAGTGACATAAGAAGTTAGTTATCATTAACAAAACTCTACATAAAATAATACTCGTTTTTTAAGCTACATTTGAAGAAATAAAAGGTACCAATCCAAAAATCGAAAAAAAAAATAAAATTTTCAAAATACATACCAGTGTGAAAAAAAAGAAGAAAGATTTCTTAAAGTGTAAAGACAGAAAACGATCTCGTACTACTTCATCGTCACCAGTATCAAAAATAATTGCAAAACATTTGTACATTTCTTCAATTAAAAGTGAATTCAAAAAACGATTTTTACATCGTACTGCATCCAAATCCATCTGAAACAGTAAATGTCCAAAGTTAAATAAATCAGCAGCTTCAATTTCACTTAATTTCAGCAATAAAGTTTTTGCACTGTAAAAAAAGGTGCTGAAACTTGTTGAGGATAACCTTGCCCCATAAAGAGTAATTCTTCACCCATAAAGAGCAATACTCCTAGCACAGTGAATATATGAAATTAAAATCAAAAGAGGAAAATGGTACCTTTAAATCGTCCAATAACCAATCACTACTTATTATTCACAGCAATTAATTTCCGTCTAAAACCTTAAAAACAAATAACCATGATGAAATGAGAAATATACAGATTGTATACGGTTAAATGTTCAAATTGTGAATTGTATAAATAAACTCAACTGTTCCTGCCAACCATTGAGTTGAAATTTTAGATTTCAAATTAATTCATTAATTTCTTTTCTCCTTTTCAATTTGAAAACTGTATTTTAATTAATCATAACAACTGTGCTATACTTTCTTAAATGAAATGATTGATCAAATTAGAGAGCAATTTAAAATTACAAAAAATAACACTCAAAAACAATGAAAAAAATTATAAGTATTTTTGAGTTTCCAACGTTGAACAAAACCTCAGTTGTTCTGACAAGCTTCAGTAAAGTTTAACCAAAGCAGTGTGCAAATACTCAACCTCAAATAAGCACCTATGATTCAGTCGCGGGTGCCGATTCATAATTCTTTCAAATTTGCCCAATACTGTTTGCCCCCACAGAGCTGTGCCTCAAAAAACCTATTTTCTTTAAGGCTTCATTTGAGAGCCCTTTTTAAATCAACATTTAAGTATAACTTTCATTTTTCCATCGTTCTTTACTTCTCATTCGTTGTAAATTTTCTAATTCCCTCAGTGTTTCAACTTCGTTTCCAGATTTCGTATACCATAATCAAATCCTCTTTCCATTTGAAATAAACGCTTCAAACATTCTACTAATCTATTTAACAATTGCAAAAACATCAAATCTTTTTCTTCGTACCCTAGAAAGATCAGCGCGAATAAACACCATAGACAGATGCTGCAATTAAAAAACCTTAAAACTTAGCTGAAAAGAAGAAAACTTAATGTAACTTCCAGTAAGAATGCGTAGAAGTAAACCTTTTCAACGCCTATATATCCTGGTAAATAAGCTGATCAAGTGCAAAAATGTATGAACTTTAAGAATCTGTCAGGTCATCTGATGTAAACAGTGTCTACAACTGCAATCCTTAATACATTATTGTCGAGATCTGCTCACAAAAGAAAAGATTTTAGGTTTTCAACGTTAAATCACACTAAAACATTCTATTAAAGCTTAACACAGCTTCACTTTAACAGTTTATCTGATGTCATAACTTCTCAATCTTAGTATTTTACTAACAAAAAAATGTACCATAGTTCACCAAAACCCTCTAAAAAAGCTGAGCTTTACACATTTACAGAATGTTAAATATGATTTTGTCAAAAATATTTGAATTCATGAGATTATTCGACACAAGACAGGAAAATGCTTGACCGATAAACGCAGTAAGAATATACTAGAAAGAAATAATAAACGTTAAAAAAAGAAACAGAGAAATAAAAAACTCAAAAAGATAATCCTGAGCTTCTATGATGAACAAATTTTAAAAACGATAAACAAACATTAGTTAAAATCAGATATCAGTAAGAAAGCCAGCAGAAAAAACACTGCCTAAACCGAAACTATTTTCGCTAGGCAAAAGTTATGTGCATAAATTAACAACACTAAAACCTGTTTTTCTAGATATCAGTTGAAAAAAGAACGCTAAGACTTACCATAGGTATAGTTAGTGAAAAGGTAGTCGCCACTCCTTGTTTAAAGCTCCATAACCAACTGTTACATGAAACAGATCTCCGTACAATACTATTTAAACCATTACTTGGAAATCAAATCAATTATGAATCTAAGTTTATAATAAATAATCTTTTCAATAAAGCAGCACCAGTCTGAAACCTGCAAGAATTCTTTAATGATTAATCAGTTAAATGCTTCAAATTGTATTGTTCCTCGTTAAGCAAACTGATATCACCTGCAAAAGAACAACAAGCAGAAGTGTTTTCAAAACAAATTTAACAATAAAGAAAAACTTTTGAAATCTAATTGTCTCAAAGTATTTATCCCGCACTTTAATGCTGCGTCAGTGAATTGAAATTAGAAAAAA